TATAGTTACTCTAGATGGCATTAACTTGGCCTCTAGCACCACTGTCAGGAATCTTGGAGTTATCTTTGATCAGGATTTGTCATTTAACTCCCACATAAAGCAGACCTCTAGGACTGCCTTCTTTCATTTACGTAATATTAGAAAAATTAGACACATCCTATCACAGACAGATGCAGAAAAACTAATCCATGCATTTGTTACTTCAAGGCTGGATTACTGCGACTCTTTATTATCAGGTTGCCCCAATAAGTCCATTAAAACGCTCCAATTAATTCAGAACGCTGCAGCAAGAGTACTGACAGGAACTAGAAAAAGAGATCACATCTCTCCTCTACTAGCTTCTCTGCATTGGCTCCCTGTAAAATGTAGAATACAATTTGAAATCCTCCTCCAAACCTATAAAGCTCTTCATGGTCAGGCCCTTTCATATCTTAAAGAGCTCATAGTACCCTATTACCCCACTAGAACACTACGTTCTCTGAATGCTGGGCTACTTGTGGTTCCTATAGTCTCTAAAAGTAGAACAGGAGCCAGAGCCTTCAGTTACCAAGCTCCTCTCCTGTGGAACCAGCTTCCAGTTGTGGTTCTGGAGGCAGACACCCTCTCTACATTCAAGAGTAGGCTTAAGACACTTCTCTTTCATAAAGCTTATAGTTAGGGCTGGATCAGGTGAGTCCTGAACCATCCCTTAGTTATGCTGCTATAGGCCTAGACTATCGGGGGATTTCCCATGGTGCACTGAGCTCCTCCCTTCCTCTAACTTTCTGCACTCATTCATGTCCCACTAATGCATGTTACTAACTTCACTTCTTCCCCGGAGTTCTTGTGCTTTCTCGTCTCACAGGTTCTTGTCGATCCTGGTGGAGCCTCCTGCCATGGTCCTGCTAGATTGCCATTGCCAATACTGTTGTTGCTGTGCACCTGTCTGTCTGTCTGTCTCTCGCTCTCTCTCTCTCTGCCTCTCTCTCTCTCTCTCTCTCTCTCTCTCTCTCTCTTCACCCCAACTGGTCGAGACAGACGACCACCCACCTAGAGCCGGAGGATCTGTCCTAGGTTTCTGCCTTTTAACAGGCAGTTTTTCCTTGCCCTTGTCGCCAAGTGCTTGCTCATGGTGGTACTGTTGGGTCTCTGTAATTAATGTTTTAAAGAGTTCGGTCTAGACCTGCTCTATTTGAAAAGTGTCCTGAGATAACTTCTGTTATGAATTGGCGCTATACAAATAAAATTGAATTGAATTGAATTGAATTGAATTTATTAATTAAATAATTCAGTAATGCAAATAAACTGAACTAAACGAGAGATAAACATAAATTCATAATAAATAAAGTACAGTGTAAATAGTTAATTAAGTAGTTACATTAAACTGCTCTATATAGTAGCTGAAGAAAAGTGTATTGTAAACAAAACATGAATATTCAGATTTGTGTCATTGGTTTATGCTGTTTCATATATATATAATAATGTGCAATAATTAATGTGCAATAATTACTGTGCAATCTATTGCCCATGTGCAACTGCTGCTGCTACTATTTGTGTTATTTGTGTTATCTGTTGTTTGTGGATTCTTACTGATTTTTCTCTTGTACATAGTGTTTTTCATTATTTCCCTACTCCTACAGTTTTTTATATGGTAGATAACTTGCTGAATGTTTAAGTAACATAAAGGTAGCTGAGGACAGTAACGTGCCTTTCTTGCCTAATCACAGTGGATTAGGGCGCTTGAGTTTACAAGAGTGACTGTGCTAACTAATCTAAAGCCAGCGAGCTGCTAGCCGAGAGGACGCCATTGCTGAACGGGAAGGACTGTTTCATGCTTCCTGAGGAGGACTTTGCTTCTGCTGCCGTTTGCTTTCATCTCCATCTCTTCATGTACTGTTTCTCCAGGACTTATTCCAGACCATGAGTTGGATTTTCTGTGTGACTGTTAATTGCTACTGAGGATAAGGATTTCCCTGCTGCAGCGAGCAACACACAGGCCTGCAACTTTTTTTCTTTTGTATTAAAGTGGTAAGAACTAGGAATTTTAGAGACCTGAGATAATTAGTTTTGAATAGTATTTAATAGTTTTGAATAGTATTTTGATATTGCCAATTCTATTTTGCTTATTATAAGTGTCTGATTTTCTACAGTGTTTTACCAATTTTGGTAAAGGTACATTTGTTTACAGTTTTATATTTCAACTATAATATATTTTATTTTAAAGAAGTCTAATTTGAGTAGTTGTGTTATCTCATTTTTGTTCATTTGTTAAATAACAAAATAAATATTATTTGTGTTACACTGAAAAACAACTGGTTAGTAAAATATTTTATTTATTTGAAAGAGTTGTCTGGGGTCAGTTATTTGAAATAGTGTAGAGTACATGTGAATAGAGCCACTGCTTAGTCTAACAGTGTTGTTGATTATTCATAAAGTATTAGGCTATAAAAGGTTTCACACAAAACAGGTAAACCTTCATGGTAGCTACCTTAATAAATCAAACCCAAACACCCCATCATTCAAGTCCAAGGTGAGTTCCTTTAATTTGGGCACTTACTGAGTGTTGGGGTGCTACACTGTAATCCAACTGCTACCTATATTATCCAGGCCTGAGCTTTTTCTTGGTTTACAACCTTTAAAACACTTGATCACACAACGATCATCAAAGGAGGGATACTTCTGTTACCTTTTATGAGTCCTACAATGGTTTTTATGCTATCCCAGACAGAGTCCACATTATTAATCCTGAGCTGTGTCTCAATTTCATCTTTATACTTTTAATTACATTTTTTATTTAATTTGAATTATTATTATTTAAGTTATTATTATTGACATACATGGTACATTGGTGACATTAGTCACTTCAAAGTGATATATAAAAATAATAATTACAGTACCGTATAATATTAATATTAGGAGTTGTTATTGTATTTATAGAGCAATGAGGAAGCCAGACCAAGCCACAGGGAGAAAAACAGGCCTTTCTGCCACAGAGGGAGATCCCCCCTGCACTCACACAAATAGAGAGGGAGACTTTTACGCTGCGGTCCAACCAAGGCGAATAATAATTATTATTTGTGCGGGTAGATTGCGTCCAAAGTCAACCAGGCAATGTAAATGACGAGCTCTGCAATAGAGAGCCACAGCAGTGCAAGGGTGCACAGCAGGAACTGGATAAACTACATAAACACCCATAGTCCAACTGGATTCTGCTCTGATCTGGAGATGTTTATTGGCAGGAGGAGATCTTGGGTTTATTTTTAAACTTTTGCGATTAAAAAGATGATTTATATTCAGTCTGTTTTATCAGCCTGTCAGCTCTGACTCTTGATAGACAATTTAATTTACCAATCGGACACGAGAGCTAAGCCAGAGAGGCCCAATAGAGGAGAGCAGCCATGCCTCACTTTCTTGTCTTCAGAACGACCACGCCCCCTTCTGGGTGAAACAAGCACTGTACACAGTTTCTAATACAGAACAGGCATAGATACAGATACAAGCAGAAGATTACCTTCAGTGGTATTGTTTCTCCCACTGACTATTGTTCCTCTTTGTTTAACCACTGGTATCTATACACCTCTGAGCCAATCGAAAGGAGACATATTAATCAAGTTAAACATCTCAACATGAGAGACACACGTCTTTATTTTATTCAATATCTAACACAAACAAATTACTTCTGACACTAAAACAGAGCTTTTACAATATATACAAGTACCTGAAAAAGTAAACAAGTAAACTCTTGCTCCTGCACTTGACAGACAGAGAAAAGTTTTTGCATTACAATACTTTAATTTACAAAACATATCCTTTAATACAACTACTCAATAGCTTTTTGGGGGGTGGGGGAAGGCAGATACATATTTAGCTCCACAAGGATGTTTTGTCCCTTCACCAAGGAGAACTGCAAGTTTCTCTGGTGTTAATGTTAGAATATCTGGTATTTTTTGGGCTATTTCCCTGTAATGGAAGAAAACCTCTCACAGTGGAAGAGGAATTGCATCTCTGTTTCTATTTCTCCTGTTGAAAAGTGAGGGCATAAGCACTCCTCTCTGGGCAGCCACTAACTCAAACCTCTTACTATTAAATGCATTACATTCTTACACTAAAGAAAAACAGATTTATAGGCCTATTTTTAATGATTTGACAAAAACTCTAAATTATTATTACCTAATATTTACTCTTCAATCATATATGTGAATATGTCAACAATTTTTATGGCATAAAATTAATGTTTAGCATTTAACACACAATGTTAAAGACAACTTTAGATGCCATTTATCTTTTTAAAATATACGTAGCTACTAAAACAAATACAGATACAATAGTGAAAACAATTTATCTCCAGAACTTCAACTTTTCTCTTTTAAGAAACATATCACAAATAAAGAATATTATAAAAAGAGTCAGACAGCTCCACTAACAGAATACATAACCTTTGTTCTATCTTATCTTCCACGCTGATACAAATGCAGAAAACACTCACAGACCTTTTTATGATATTCATAGTGAGCTGCTAAGAAGTGAATCTGAGAAGAATAAAAACAGAAGAGTTTCTGCTCTAAACTCTATTTTCACATCCATAAAGACACATGACCAATCACAGCAGGTGAGAGGCGACACAAAGGTTCTGGTTCCAGAAAGTTAAAGTTCAGATGCAGAACTTCTCATTTCAACCATTATAACAGAGTTCTCTTGATGTTCCCTCTTTCGACGGACGGCAGAGCCTTCAGCTTTCTCGTATTTCTTCTTCTTCCAGACAAAATAAACAGCAATCCCACTCAATATAAGAATCATCACAGCTGCTCGTGAACCACATATGAGTATGGAGCGATCTGTTCAGATAAAGAGACACAAAAATGAGACACAAAAATGACATGCACGTTATAGCTGTGACAGGAGAGTTAGTTTTCACTTACTTAAGTACCATGAGTCATCTGTGCAGGAAGTAGTCACAGTTTGATTGGAGGATGGGATTTTAGTGGGGGGTTTAACTGACACCATGATGCCAGTCTCCTTACCCACAGTAGTGTCTTTACTCGTGGTTGGCTGATTGCACTGTATGTCACTGGCTTCAAGCACCCACTCTGATATGTTTGTCCCATTAGTTAAGGTGCAGTTGATGAAAAGGCCTATGGGAAAGAAACAGAGCAATCACTGATGCACAGAGTGATCATAATCAGTGTCATAATTATCAAACTGTTTTCTACTCATGTTCTCACTCACATTTCCTCGCTTCTTTTGAGACACTACTGATGTGATTCCTGACTGAGCAGACCAGTTGTCCTGAGACGTCTGGTTTCAGAGTGATGTTGTTAGTCTCATTGTTTCCAGAGAGGAGCTGAGTGTCTGTCAGTGTGTGTCCATCCAGAGTCCAGCTGTACTGAGGACTGTCTCCTCCCTCAGAGGAACAGGACACCCTCGTCTCACCCTGGGACAGACACTCAGAGACCAGCAGGACAGAGGACACAGGAGCTGAAGGAAACACACTCAGATTCATTTTCATATTACCAGAATCTTGTACATTATATACAGTAGATATATATAGTTTTGGCAATAAAATATAACATGTATTTCTTTGAATATTACTAAATTCCCCTGTAGACAAAATTATTTTTTACCTTGAATGATCAACTGTAGAGTCCGCTGCACTGATATGCTTCCATTTGAATCAGAGATCATGAGAGTATATTCACCTCCATCAGTCCTGCTCAGGTTGTTGATCCTAAATGTTCCATCAGTGGGAGTAAATGAAGATCTGTCTGCTATCAGATTAAACACTGCCCTGTTCTTACCCCCTCTGAGTATTGATGTAGTATATGTTTTGTTCTTTAACCATTCGTATCTAAATATTTCTGAGGTACTGTCCATCAGCTGGAGGACCACAGTTCCTCCCAAAGCTCCATAACACTGAGCTCCATTATTCTTTCTGCCATCACAGTAGGTTTCCACGCCTGGAAATTAAAAAAATAAAAATAAATTAAATAATGTAAATATAACTCTTTTCATAATTGTTCAACAATTGAATTTACAAAAGTCATGACCATGACAATATTTTGGCCTTATGCAACTATCGATCTAAACAAATAACAGTGGTTTGGTTCAGCTGTGTCTCTCTCTGACCACACTGTGAAAACAGACTTTATTGTTAGAGCTGAATGTTAAACGACTAAACATTTCAGGTGTAGCTAACAGAGGTATTTCACATTTTTCATCCAGTCATTATAAACTGATGATGTGTTTTTTCACACCTGCAGAACTTTATTTTAAATTATAGCAAAGATCACAACTTTTCTAGTGATAGTGAATTATAGTTCATGCTGTATTTGGAAAAAATCTATAAAATTATCAACAAAATATCGAGAGAAGTCCAGCCTTAGTCAGTTTACAGTTATTCTATTATGGTACAATGTTATGCAGTGTTATCTTAAACCATGAAGTGACTTCAGGTTTCACAGGATTAATTAAATATCTGAACTGTCTGGGATCCTAAAAGTATAATTTAATAGAATTATTCATAAAAAAGTGGAAGTTCATACTTGTGACGTGAAACCGATCTCTGGATTTGCCTAAATTGATTAAAAAACATCCTTAGAAAAGTTCAAATAAGAGTTTCAAACTGCAGCATTTATCTGCCATCAGTCAGTAAGTTAACAGTAAGTAAACAATTTAGTCATTCCTTCTAAATCGGTAGGAAACAGTGGGTTTGCTGTAACTGTTTCTCAGGAAGTTATTCTTGTGTAGCTGAGAATTACACAGGCCTGTGAGCAGAGGTGGAATGTAAGTACGTAAAAATACACCAGATAAAGCATCATAGTGTGAGGGCTGGCATCTAAATCTAAAGCACCGCCCTGTTAGGTAGAGTCAGAGGGAGCTCCCCACCTTCATAAGGACAGGTGAGGGCAATTAGCGCCTCTTTGTCTTAGGCCTGGTTGTGTGGCAGGATTGCTGTGTCATGCAGGTAAGGGAAAAAGGAGAAAGATCTTATATTGCTTTATTAGAAATCTGATGAGATCTTTTGTATATTTAGTTGTGGTGTGACTGTCCTGAGTGATCCAGACAGAGCATGCTCTGTAGCCCTGTGCTGAAGAGGTATGTCTCAGTGAATTGTGGGGTTTCATTAAATTGTAGATATATCACTAATATGATAAAATCTCTTCAGGCAAAGACTCAGCTCTTCCATCTCCCCTTTTAAGCCAGAGTAGAGCCTTTCAACTGTTGCATTGCTTTTTAGCAGATCCCCACATGAACAAGGTAAGTGAAACCAGTATGGTAATGTAGGAGGGTCATGCTCTCTAAGGTATGTTGTTGTCAGCTGCTGAGACTGACTTTGGTTATGTTTTCCTTTCCCCTTACTGCAGATTTAAGGCCAGACTGCTGCTTTGCCTGAGCCAGTTCGCCAAGGCGGTTGGCGAATGTATTACAGACTGTACAACTTAAATAATCTGTAGATGGTTGAATATTGTCTTTTTATATTGTGTGTAGTGACACTGACTGTCTGTGAATCTGAACCAACTGAATCTCATTGTATTTTCTGTCTTTTGTTTTGATTAGGTAGTAGGACGACCTGCGGGGAGTAGTCGTGGGATATGCACCCCTCCTTGCATGCAGTGTAGTATGTTTGAAGGGTAGTGGTCACTTCACTGGTTTGTAGGTTTGACTTTCCTTGCAGTGTAAGTTGTAGTGTTTGTAGTGATCAGTGTGCACACAAGGTGATTTCTATTGGGGTCTGTGATAGCGTCTCCCTGTCCTGCCTATTTCTCGCGACCATTTAAGCTCTTATTGTATTATGTTATGGTGAAGCCATTTGCTATTTATACACTAGTTGTTTCAACTATTTTAGTATTGTGGAATAAAATAATTTTGCCTAGTTTTATGGTTTCTCTTTTCTTTTTCAGGTCTTTTGCCCGTATAATTTATTTTTAGTAAATATTATTGAGAGCTGAATGCACGTCTCCCACTTTTCTTGAACCCTTTAAAAATTGTGTCAATGCTCAGATGGTTGGTGTCTAGGGCTGGTATAGTTCTATTCTGGGTATCGGTCCCTGTTGTAACCTGGGTGGGGTCACAATAAATTTATGGCAGTCAATGGAATATTTTATTTAATTATATTTAATAATTATATTGAATTCATTTACACTGATAACATTAGGACAACCTGGGCACCCTGGTGGTCATAATGTTGTGCAGCCCCATACCAACAAACTCTGATGCACTGTGTATTCTGACACGTTTCTATCAGAACCAGCATGAACTTTTTCAGCAGTTTGAGCTACAGTAGCTCGTCCATTGGATCAAAACACACGGGCCAGCCTTCACTCCCCACGTGCATTAATGAGCCTTGGCCACCCATAACCTGCTTTCCCTTCCGTGGACCACTTTTGATAGGTACTACTGACCACTGCAGACCAGGAACATCCCACAAGAGCTGCAGTTTTGGAGATGCTCTGACCCAGTCGTCTAGCCATCACAATTTGGCCCTTGTCAAAGTCGCTCAAATCCTCATGCTGCCCATTTTTCCTGCTTCTAACACATCAACTGTGAGGAGAAAATGTTCATTTGCTGTCTAATATATCCCACCCACTGACAGGTGTCATGATAACCAGATAATCAGTGTTATTCTCTTCACCAGTCAGTGCTCATAATGTTATAGCTGATCAGTGTATGTGTCACGATTCACTGAAGATGTCAAACTGTATTTCTTTTTAGTAAACCTTATTCAACAGCTTCATAAAATGTGTAAAAATTAAAATCTTTAAACATCTCACCATGAGAGACTCCGAGTATCATCAGCAACAGTCCAATCACAACTTCCATGTCTCCTCAGTGTTCAGCCTCCTTTGATTCAGTCAGCAGCTTCCAGACAAAATCTCTCTACTTTATTCAATAACTAACATGCACATCTGACACTGAGCAGCTTGAAACGTCTTCTCTTAGTGGGTGTTGTAGAAATAGCAGTTAGAGGAAAAAGAGGAAGCACAGTTAATGTTAACTTGCAAAGCTGCTGATACTAAAAGCCACATAAACAACAAGTTATCTGTCCACTTATCTAATACATAACTATTCTTCAGTTACAGCCATATTGTTGTCTGTTATGAGACAAATATAGAATATCACTGAACTTTGCACTTAATCTTGCACTTATCAAACTAACTGAAAATTAAAAAAAAGAATTTCCTTCTATTTTTGACAGGCAGACCAAAGAAGTTGAATGCTGAAAAACTGTGATGTAACATCAGGTCATTTTTTTTCTATTATTTTTTTTTTAATTCCATTTTCACTTTGAGGTTACACAACTTGAATTACTATGAAGTTCTTATAAAACCGAAAGCCTTATTGACAAAACTTCTGTGAAATAACATTATTGATTATGTTTTCACTGTAAAACTTGAAATTCTAAGAGTATATTCTATCACTATCACTTCAGATCGAGTTGTTGATCCTAAACTTTCCACCACTGGGACTAAATGAGGATCTGTTTTTTCTTTTAGATTAGATGCAATTCTGTTCTTTCTCCCACTGACTATTGTTCCTCTTCGTTAACCACTATATACCTTTGAGCTGCTGTCTATCAATTTAATTCAATTCAATTATTTTATTATTTGTCCCAAATGGGCAGTTTGTGCTGCATCAGGCATAAAAACACACAATACAGCAACAGAAACAAACAACAATCAGCATGAGCATTAAATCATATAAGTCACTTAAGAGGGAAGCAGGTTATAGTCCACTAAAACCTTGCAGAGCCTGTGAATAGTATAATGAGCATTGAATATTGTCAACAGCACCAAGACATACCCATTCACAATGTAATATACATCTCCACCAACACAACATGACTCACACTACATAAATATAGAGTTAAATATAATCCACTTCAACAACATCAAATATATATATATATTTAAAAAAGCATAATTGTCACTGTCTCCAAATCATCATTAACATCACCACCATCCCCATCGCCATTCCCAGTACTAAGGTAGTTGACTTATTGACACCAGCTGCTACCTCCTCCTGACATTAGCATTCAGGGCTTGAATGGAGACAGGGATGAAAGAATTCTTGTACCTGTTTTTTGTGGCAATCGAGGAACTCAAGATGGTAACAGCTTGTACTCTGAATTAAAAGGGTGGGCACATTCTCAGCGTATGACCATTGTTCTTTTTTAAGCACATGCTGGTAAATATGTGATAGCTTCATAGAAACAGTTGATAATTTTTTTTAAGTTAATAGTTTATCAGTACCTTGGAACAGGATGTGAGCTGCATTACACATCAGCAAGGAATGATAATAATTGATCTTGTGACTGCATAATATCCCCAATAATGATTGTTTAACACAAAACTTTTTAGTCACTCAGTACCAAATCCGATCACCAATCGTCCAAACACTGTTTCAATGTCTGAAACATGCCCCGTTACTGATTAGGAGAAGCTGTGAACACTCTGAGAAGGCAATATGCTGTTGCATTCATGTACCATTTTTAAAGATGGAGATGGGGGGAGGAAGTAAAGTCAACGTGTTGACTACTTGAGATAAACCTCACAATTCCTCCACCCAGTTTTTAATTATAATACTTCCTCATTGCCTCTGCTCTTTCATTTGTCTAATTTTTACTGTTCTGTTGTTCTTCTCCTTTTTAATGTTTATTGAGTCAAATGTGTCTTTGTACTAATATACTTTTACATAAAAACAGCTAAACCATTGTTTCTTATTATGTGTTTAACTTTCAAAGTTTAAATCTAAAGGTATCTTAAGCCATCCTCAACATCAATAAATTAAGTTGTCATTGCTTCAGAATGATGCAAATATACATAAAGATTATTTATTCAAACCAGTCAAACTGGAATTTGAAGATATGGGAACTGGTAGTTCAACATTGGTTCTGCTGATTCTGAATCTGATTCTTATGAAGCAAAAATGTACAAAGTCAGTTTAACACTATAACAAAAGTCTGCAGCATGTTAGTTGTAATGTTTCCATTACAGCTGGAGTAGCAGATGTTTTATTCTCATTGCACTGTAAATCCTAGACTGCTTCAAACTTCACCCTAAAAAAAAGATGTTTGTTGTGTTGCTCATACCATAAGTTTAGTTTCTCATTCACAAAGAAAGAACTCATGCTATGTGATAACAGAAGTGTCCTGATGGCCTAGTAGTCTAAAGCTTTTTTGAAGCGTATCATTTAACGTTGTCATATCATGCTCTCTCTTTCCCTCTTGCAAATGTCTCATTAGATTATGTGTCGCTCCACTGGCAACTGTTGAAGAAAGGAAATGCCATAAAAATATCAAAAGACTTGAAAGAACCAATATTTTACATTCATAATCTAGACAGGTGAACTGTTTCAATTAAGCCACTAGAGGCAGTAATAGCCATTCAGACATAATTCTGAATGTTGTTTTCATTGGCTTTTTTAATGCCTTCTTCTAGTTTTGCTTGCTCAACAGAAACTGTTTTATTAAGAGTAAAATTATCAGCAAATGTTCTATAAACCAGGAGAGGGACAGCTCATACCTACCAATATGAGTCAAGAACTTTTATTCAAGGCCAAAATAAAACTCAACAGTTAAAGGTACAATCTTAAAACATGACTAATTGGCTGTCTAATATTTCATGATTAAAAAGATTTGTTTACATCAATGAAACATGGAACTGAAACAGACATTTTTCAATTCTGATCAGGTGAGAAATAAAATAATGAATCATTACATCATTTGATCATCTACAAGTATCTATAAGTCAAACACTTTATATATTTGTGAATATACCTGTAACTTACCAATTGCACACCATATACACAACATATTCTTTTTAAAAATGCCAAAATCAATTGTGGTATAGCTGTACGAAAGCAAAACACATTCAAATCTAGAGTAAATTAATTTCCAAATAACATGCATTGCATTGCGAACATGACAGTAATTTATTTACTATGTCACATTTTACTTTAGGATTAACAGATTTCCTCACCTAAAGTTGATATAATTAGCACATTTAGCCCTAATTGTGTCTTTGATCGTGATGCCATTTAATTCAGCAGTAAGGGAACAAAGAAAACATTGAATATTGTCCATGCAGTTTATTCTATAATAATATGATGATATGTGGGCCTCAGGCACTCTTTAAAGGCAGCAACTCACTGATCATTTCCATGTGTTTGATCAGTCAGTCAGAACAAACATTCTTTCCAATTGGACTGATTCTTTATGAAGGGTGTCATGATCCCAATTTCATCAAGTCAAAGAAGTGACAGGTTGAAAATGTCAGAGGGCTCCAGCTGTGATCATAGAACTAGGGTTACAGTGCATAACCTTTGTTCTATCAGAGCAAATGAAAATCCTTTTCTTGATGTTCATACTGAGGTGCTGTCAATACTCTGACTGGAGAAATCTAAAACAAGGTTAATGTGAGTGAAGGGTTTAAGGGACACTAAAGCTGCCAGTCTCCTTACCCAAGTCAAAGGTTTCATATACAGCTAATGTAATGTAGTATCAATAAAGTATCAATAAAAAATACACTACAACACCATATTATGGTAGGCTGTTGCTTCTTTAAAAGAGTAACTGAACACTCACGGTTACCTGTGAGTCCCCCTGGCTAAACTATGGATAAATTACATATTCATCCATGTTATACAGATCAATATCACCAGTTTTCTACTCATGATTTCCCACGCCACAGGTATATATCCTCTCTTCTTTTGAGACACTACTGATGTGATTCCTGACTGAGCAGACCAGTTGTCCTGAGACGTCTGGTTTCAGAGTGATGTTGTTAGTCTCAATATTTCCAGAAAGGAGCTGAGCATCTGTCAGTGTGTGTCCATCCAGAGTCCAGCTGTACTGAGGACTGTCTCCTCCCTCAGAGGAACAGGACACCCTCGTTTCTCCCTGGGACAGACACTCAGAGACCAGCAGGACAGAGGACACAGGAGCTGAAAGAAACACACTCATATTACTTCATATTAAAAGAATGGTCATTATATACAATATATACAATTATTAAATACATAAAATACAATTATATAATCCAGTAAAGAACAATACTGTAGTTTAGCAATGGAATATGACATGTATTTCTATGAATATTACTAAATTCCCCAGTAGGCAAAAAAAGTACCTTGAATGATCAACAGTAGAGTCTGCAGCACTGATTGGTGTCCATTCGAATCAAAGATTATGAGAGTGTATTCGCCACCATCAGTCCAGCTCAGGTCATTGATCCTAAATGTTCCATCACTGGGAGTAAATGAAGATCTGTCTGCTATCAGATTAAACACTGCTCTGTTCTTACCTCCTCTGAGTATTGATGTTGTTTTCTTTAACCATTCGTATCTAAATATTTCTGAGGCACTGTCCATCAGCTGGAGGACCACAGTTCCTCCCAAAGCTCCATAACACTGAGCTCCATCCTGTCTGCCATCACAGTAGGTTTCTCCACCTGAAAAAATGTAAACATAAGTTCAGTCAGACAACTCACATTTGAAATGTTTATTACAGCAGTATCGCATATTTAGAGTTTGGCGTCTAGGCTTCGACCTCATCATTCCCCTCAGATATGTTTTTTACAGAGATATTGGGGACTGATGAGCAAATACCTTAAACCCCTAGTAGAATATGATACACACTGTTTTTAAAATTTATTTTTTTTTTTTTTTTAAATATTTTTTTTTTTTTTTTAAAAAAAAAATTTTTTTTATTTTTGGTTGGTTAAAAATAGGGTTTGTTTCTTTTTTTTGGTTCCTTTTAAATAAAAAATTTTAAGGTTTTTTTCACCCCCCTCCTTCCTTTCTGGGTTTTTTTTTCTAAATTTTCCTTCCCGGGGAAAAAAGGAAATTTTTTTTTTGATCAGATTAAACACTGCTCTGTTCTTACCTCCTCTGAGTATTGATGTTGTTTTCTTTGACCATTCGTATCTAAATATTTCTGAGGTACTGTCCATCAGCTGGAGGACCACAGTTCCTCCCAAAGCTCCATAACACTGAGCTCCATCCTGTCTGCCATCACAGTAGGTTTCCACACCTGGACATTTACAAAAATAAATTATGATAATATCACAATTTGTATCATTTATTTTTTGACTAGATTGTTGATCCATAGTAGTATTCAGTGTTTACTGTGACGGTAAGCAATGTGTAGCTGCAATGAAGTGTCTGTACAATGTCATAAAGGGTATTTGTTTGTTATTTTAAAGTGATTTCAGGTTTGAAATGTTTCAGGTAAAAATGACAGTTCATTGGATTTATTTGTATTTCATTCCCAACTCTCAGCAAAATCCTAAGTTATTAAAAGAAATGTATTTCTGGTGTAAGAGCATGTGGTAATCGTTACTGAAAATATGATTCAGTGTTACTTAAATAACTGACTTCCCAATCCTTCGTTTTACGCATAGTAATCGATTAAGAATAAAAAAGAAATTTCTGTTCTTTTGGCCTTTGAATTTCTTTGTTTCAATTTCAATACAAACAGCTTCAATTTACCATTATACAGAGATAGTGGTTAAACACAAGCCATCACTTATAGACAGAAGAAAGCTTTCAGTTTGACAACTAAAAATCAAAGCAGAAAAAACATATTAAATAGTGTTTAATTTATTTATGTGTCATGGTTCTTGTATGATTTTGGTTCTAGTGTGCGTCAGTGTTTGATCTTTAAAACACTTAAAATGATGCCAGACTATAAAATCTGTCAGATTAAACAAGTTAAACATCTCACCATGAGAGACTCTGAGTAGCATCAGCAACAGTCCAATCACAGCTTCCATGTCTCCTCAGTGTCAGACAAACCTTTTTACTTAAAAGCAAACATGAAACACCCTACACTGAGTAAATGTGTCCTGAAAAATGATCAACTGCAGATGAGAATGTGGGAAAACTTTGACGAAGCAGAGAGGAGAGGAGAAAAAGGAATCAATGTTAGTTTTACTTCCCTTTAAGCAAGAAGGAGAGAGACACAATGGTGGGATGGACTGACTGGAAGAGACAAGAACGTTCCTGATTCATAATTAAAGAGGATTTGAAACTGACAGCTGATATTTATAAGATGTCCCTGTTCCAATATTAAAATAAAAGTAATTCATTCTTAAAAAAATCTGAATTTCATCAGTTTTGAAAAAATAAGCATATGAAACACCATATGTCTGATTCATAAATAAATGATTCACAGCCTGAGATGCTCAAATCTCAATCTGTCTCTAACCCACTAGCGGATCATTATTATAAGAGCATGTTGAACACAAAACATTTATTTACACACAATACAGTAGTTTAAATTCTTCTTCAGATAGTGAAGTATATATACACAAAATCTGTATAAAATTATGATGTGGATTTTTGTGTTTTCAGTTCAACTTTAAAGCTACAAATTAGGTTAAACAGTTAAATACTAGTAAATACATTGTCTTAAAATTAAGGATTATGATCCACTAAACACTGTAAAGCAAAAAGAATAAATGTACTGAACATGAATTGGAGTTTTTTCAAGTGGTTTTGAGAAATTGAAAGCTACTGTAGCTTTACTTGCAACGAAACAAAACATTTTACACTCAATATCTAATGAGGATAACCACAAGTAAAGCCTCTAGATGCTTTAAAATGAAATGTTTTCTCAACAGTTTCATTGAATACACAGGATTATCCATAAACAACAGTAACTCCTCTGTAAACCAGTAGAGGGAAACCTCACACCTACTAATACTGATGATGAGTGTGGAAGTTTTATTTTTATTATTATTCTCAACAGTCATTAAAGGTAAAGTTCATAATTAAAAAAATCAACAAAAAGGTGTTTACCTAAACTGACGGAAGGCATACATGATTTTATTAGTTTCAGTGGACGGTGATATGGAAACCTACAGTACAATAATTCCCAAATTGCATTGAAATTAGTTGTACTATTAATATAACAATATAAGCTTTATTCAAAACATGACTCTTGACTTCAGGATAAACTGCTGTGAGCCTCCGGATGCTTTAGCACTCTCCAAATGCAGCAGTGTACTGAAACCTTTACAACAAGACAGTCTTTCCACATTAAGTAAATATGTAAACTTTCACCAAGTCAACAACCAGTCAAGTGACCAAGTAAAAAGGTTCCTAAGACAAATGCAGAAAACACTCAGAGACCTTTCTATAGGAACTTATTTATAGTGAGCTGCTAAGAAGTGAATCTGAGTAGAATAAAAACAGAAGAGTTTCTGCTCTAAACTCACATATTTTCACATCTATAAAGACACATGACCAATCACAGCAGGTGAGAGGCGACACAAAGGTTCTGGTTCCAGAAAGTTAAAGTTCAGATGCAGAACTTCTCATTTCAACCATTATAACAGAGTTCTCTTGATGTTCCCTCTTTTGAGGGACAGCAGAGCCTTTAGCTTCCTCGTATTTCCTCTTCTTCCAGACAAAATAAACAGCAATCCCACTCAATATAAGAATCACCACAGCTGCTCGCAAACCAAATATGAGCATGGAGCGATCTGTTCAGATAAAGAGACACAAACATTACATGTCAAGTAATTGTTGACAGGAGAGTTAATTTACAGCAATATTTGATTGGTATATGTGTGGTGTGAGTGTAGAGTTTTATGAATACTTGGATGTCTTTCTACTTACCCACGGAAGTGTCTGTGATTGTGGTAGAGGTTGATGTTGGCTCAATGCACCGGCTGTTACTGGATACACGCACGCTCTGTGATATGTGCATCCCGTTGGATAAGGTGCAGTCAGTGAACATGAAGCCTATGGGACATAAACAGATCAATAACTGATGCCCTGTTAATCATCAGTGTCATAACTATCAAACTGTTTTTCACTTTTCTGACTCACCACAGGTAGATATCCCACTGATGTGATTCCTGACTGAGCAGACCAGTTGTCCTGAGACGTCTGGTTTCAGAGTGATGTTGTTAGTCTCACTATTTCCAGAGAGGAGCTGAGTGTCTGTCAGTGTGTGTCCATCCAGAGTCCAGCTGTACTGAGGACTGTCTCCTCCCTTAGAGGAACAGGACACCCTCGTCTCTCCCTGGGACAGACACTCAGAGACCAGCAGGACAGAGGACACAGGAGCTGAAGGAAACACACTCAGATTAATTGTGATATAACAGAATATTGGTCATTATGTACATATTTATAATACAGAAGAGGCATCCATACAATTATATGTAACTAAGCAATATAATATGATAAGACTTCTTTTATTTTAAGATGACTGGCTTAAATAATTCTGTTGTTTTTCTGCCATCTATAAAATAAACAGATATACTGGAATTAATTCAGGTGATGGATTTTTTTGGTCCCTGTCCAGTAGAATAAAGTTAACTTGCTGTTGACAAGGAAAATCAAATATGAACAAAAGTAAAAGGGAAATAAATAAACTCTAGGTACCAGCCCCAATTTACAAACTGACACCATGAAGCTAAACTTATTAGCACCGAATAACAAGGTTGTAGAGAATAGTGCACTCTAACGGAACTAAAAAATAAAGCTTTAATAATAAATCATACAGTATCTGTAGTATAATAGGTTGTGAAATGAAACCTGACACTCCCGGGCTGAAATATGAGTCTGACTCAGGCTGTGAAAGATAATAAATAAATAATAATTATAATTAATATTACAGTTCCCTTGTATTTAGGGCCGATTCTGCCAAAATCAAAAATGAATAAATTTCCCAATACATTTAAAAAATATATTTTTGACCATAGAATGAGCTCAAGCACACGTTATATTTGTAGTGAAGCAACTTCGGTCTGGTTCCCTCTAACCATCAGTTAGGCATTACCCATCTCTCAGGTAAATGTTCATCTATTGTTTTCTTCCACATTCAGCAGAAACTGACAGAGCCTGTAAAATACATTGATTCAACGGTTCAATTCATACTGCATACCACTATGAAAAATATGTACTACATAATGCATCCTGAAGAGAGGTCACAGGAAGTGACCGTCATGGTAAAAGTTAAGGTTTAATCATACAAAATGAACACATTCATATTTTAAGTCCCTAGGTTTAGAGGGAATTGAATTGAGAGGAACAGATAGTGAGGTACAAAAGCTTGTGCCCTAATGACAAGAAAGGTCCGGGTTTCTGCTGGCTCAGTGGGAGGAAACAGACTGATTGTGTTGATGGCTGATTTCATGCTCTGTGTTGGGGTAGAGGCAGCTAATGCTGTTACTGGTAGTGGTAATGTAACTTGGTAAACTTCCAATAGGGTTCTCCACTAACTGACCCCTAATAACTCTGCTGCTCACCTCCCTGCTGGGTTTTGACTTGCACCATATCGGAAAGTGGCCCGTCACCTACAGAGGTGAAGCCCTGCACCCTGAGGCCGTAGGTGATGTCAGGAATCAGGCTTGAGATGGTAGTCATACTGTCCTCTGTAATCTGTATCTGCCAGGCGCTGAGTGGAGTCGTCAGATCCGAGCTGTAGTAGACCCGGTAACCCCTGATTCGACCATTGGGTTCCTCTGGTGGTTCCCACTGGACCAGCATTGTGCTGGCATTCGGCATGCGTGCTTGGATGTGCAGAGGTGGCGAGGAGGGGGCCTGTTCACTGGTGTGCACCTCCACAGGATTGCTGGGAAGTCCACGGCCAAAGGTTTTGGCAGCCAAGACACGGAACTCATACTCAGAGTTGGGCCTTAGTCCACCAACACTGTAATGGGTTGTTGCCACACCATCCACCTCCTGGAAGTCATTGTTTGAGGACTTGGCTCTGTACTGGATTACGTAGTAGGAGACAGGTTCAAGGTTCCCAGAGTCCCAGGTGAGAGTCACACTGGTGGCTGTGGTCTCAGTCACAATGAGGGAGGTTGGGGGGCTTTGGCAAGGCTGAGGAGGGAGAGGCAGGGTATTAGATTTGGTATCAAAAATGGACTTGTAGGCATAATACAACCGAAATGACTTGATTACTCCATTCTGTAACTCATAGCATTGAAATTATTGTTTTATACATTCTAGTGCTGTCTTAACAAACATGTAGAAAGAGACACATACAACATTGACAAAGAGACTGCAAAAAGCACCTGCAAAGGTCTTTAATTTAAAAAAAAAAAAAAACACAGGCCACAGCACAGGGGCAGTGGTAAAATATGTATTGTATTCTGTTTTAAAACAATCCATTAACAAAAATATCAGAAATCTGTTGGTGACTCAAATCAACAGTTCACATTGTTACAGCAGCAACCTGACTCAGAGAGAGATAGTACAACAGGTCTGAATTTGTCTCAACAACAACTCTCACCTTTGACAGTGATCTGAACTGTGGCTTCTATTAAGCCCAGAGAGGACATGGCCACACAGCTGTAGTCTGCTGACTTAAGGACGTTGGTGACCTCCAGCACGTTACGTCCTATTGGCATCTCATCTTCCTTGGTCAGATCCTCCGAGCCCATCATCCACTTTACGAAGGGCATTGGCGAGCCTACTGCTACACATGTCAGGTTGACACTGCCGCCTAGCATCACCTCTTGGTTGGTGGGTGGAATGGAGAATCTGGGTGGGACTCTTCTCACTACTTGGATAGAGATAGGAAAAAATAGGGAATAGAAAAAAAATTGACTTGGGCGGGTTGAACAGCGTTAGATCAGAAACTGTTGTTCCCACATGTTTTACAGAAACCTGGGCAGGCAAACCTTCTTGATTCCTATAAAGTCCACGTGAAACAGATGTCACAGGGTGGAAGGACTGTTTTTCACGTGTTAACGTTTCTAATTCCACCGTTAGATATTTGTAATCAATACTTGCAACAGTTTGTTAACCCACAACATAGCTGACATTACATTACTTATTGTGTCGTTGTTAGCTCTATATCTTTTTAACATTTCTCATGGTATATCTCCAGAAAAACACACACCACCTTTAAATGATTAGTAATATAGTATGTAAGAGGCAAATACAGCAAAGTTTTACATGTTCAACACAATTTTTTTTTTTTTCAAATGTGGGTTAAAAAGTAGAAGAAAAAACACCAACCTTCCTTTAGCTCTGAGGGATGTAAAGGGGACAGTGCAGAACACGATAACATGAGGAGAAGAGAAAAATAGAGAAATCTATTTTAGAGAGGGGTAATAAAGGTTTAGCAGCAGCAACATTTTAAATCTTTACCTCTGTTCCCTGCAATCAGTGACACCTGTCTTGAAAGTACACTTGCTTGCCGCCCTTCAGTACACTTTGAACCAAAACAATCAGATTCACCCCAGTAGCAATGTTTGGTAAGAAAGAAAGAATATTAAGGCACCATTGGAGTCAAATCAAGCATACCATAATTAAAAATTTGACAAGCTTCTTATAGCCACAGGGAGAGGCTCTTGGCTCTATGGTGGTTGTATTTGCTTTTGTTAGAGAAGGAAACCAATTAAAGAGAAAATCAGAAAAACTGATTACCATAAATGTGGTTAGAGGCTAATCAGTAACACAGTCATCATGGTTGCTGCTTAGTAGTAATCTTAATTTTACCTGGTACAGTACTCCCCAGATAAATATTGATGCTTACCATAGCTGCTAATCTCAAGTGGATATTGCTTTGTGAACAAAAAATCAACAACAAGCAGTTGACTCTGTTTCTGTAAATTCACTACAAGGAAATCCTTTTTATCTCCTCAGTCACTCTCACTTTATCAAAATGGCTATACCTGCACTTGTGACAAGTTGTATATAACAATTTATTCATACATACAATTTATTTTGAGTTAAACATAATTCATTTCAAAAGCTAATTTCAGTTTGATATTATCACAGTTACTATAGTATCTATTTTTAGAATATGTAATTTAATTTATGGTAGTTGTAAATGTATATGAAGACTATGCAATGATAGAGTAATACCAAGAAGAGGAATGCAGATAGGTAATCCGATCAGATCCTTATCTGTGTGGTTTAATGGTTCGTCGATCTGCCTCGGAGCTCCAGTAGGGGGATCGCGCTCCTCTTCCTCATTCAATACAGACGAGTGAAGGAAAGAGCTGCATGTGTGTTTTCCTCATCCTTCTCCCTTTACTATTCCCCTTTATAAGGTAATTACCGTTTGCAAAGCACTGTATACTTATGAACACATGTTGATAGTACTTTTCTTTATGTTACTCTGGTTTTAAATGCATGTATGTATGTATGTAATATTAACTGCAAATTATATGAGCAAAGACAACTGGCGAATTTTATTGCATGTGCTGCAGACAAGAAACATTTATCTGACGGAGATACTGTTAAAAGTCGTGAAAGAACGGAAGTTAACAGATAAAGATATAGTGGTGGTGAAAGAAAACACATCCAACATGGTTGTTGCAGTTCAAGTCAGGAAGTTTGCTCATGTAAAATTATTTTTCTTCCCCCTGGTGCTCCCTCATGAAGCCAACTCAGCAGGAAGTGCCATGTATTAGCGTTATTACTGTTGTCTGCTCTGTTATGTTCTGAGACATGTTTATGATGTTTGCCACATTCAGGAAGAGCCCTGTCTTAGAGCTGCTATGTGAAAACACTTTAGTTCATTTCGTTACAGCACACTTGCAGAAGGATTTGTTTTGATAAGGTTTGTGTACTGAAGTGGGTCACATACATACTGATGTAAAAGTTTATATACTGTTTAAGTCTGATTTTTGAAAGCACTTTTAAATAAATGGGGTTGATGTTGCTTCTGTTTTTAAGTTTCATAAATTTATTCATGCATGATTGTTTTCAACCCCTTATTTAAAAATAAAAATAAAAGGAAAGGGGAGGTAAGAGTCACACCTCATTCTAAGAAATAAATCAGCAAATATTCCCCCACTCAACTGTCTGGCCACCCTATTGATATTTCCCAACATCTGCCTCTGGCTGGCTCTGGGAAACCGTCTCATCCTCTCTGCATGACTACCCACACAACTCTATCAAATAATTGTATGTGCTTCCCCGGCGGTTCTTCTAAGGCCCTGAAAATGACAACATGCACAAAGATATAGGGGGGAAAAAAAAAAAAAGTGAGAGGGAAAGGAAGTCAGTAATAAATAATTAGTTGACAGTACATGAAGGACTGAATGAAGGAGAAATGAGCAGGGAAGCAAACTAACATATGAGGATGGACTAATTCAGTGAGACAATATAAGCATGAATGAAGACAATCTTCTTAATGGAGGGTATCTTGAAATTTCTCAGCAATCACTATGTCAAGTACTGTTTCTCTCTGCAATGCCACATATTAAATGCCCAAGTTTATAGTAATATAGTATTATAGTTATAGCTTTAGTTGGGTCAACAAACCGTTTTAGTTTTCAGCTCTGGGATAAATGCACATTGGCATTAACCAAAAAACAAAGCATCGTTTTTAGTTTCTAATTTATTCTGTTGTTCACTCCTCTTTCTCTATCAAATAATTGTATGTGCTTCCAAGTTGGAGATATAATTCTGCTGAAAAGCTAAAATGTTCTTAAACATTTTCGGAGAAAAAAAGATTAGACACAGCAGGCACATTGCAAAACACAAAAACAACCATTTTAACTTTGCCCCAAAATGTCCTGGAAATTCAATTAAGTGCTCAAGTTAATGAGAGGGGAAAATGTAGGAACATAATGCTTGGGCCGTACCGGAAGGTAGCTGTTTTATCCGCCCATTACTTGCACTGGGGTCAATGGGCAGGAAGTCTTTGTACCAGGTGATTTCTGGGTCAGGGTTGCCACTGGCAGCACAGAGCATAGTGGCTGTTCGATTGTGCTCCACCACTTTGAGTTGAGGGCCCATGTCAATGGTAGGGAAGCCTGGTGGGAGTAGGTCCTCTGTGACAAGAACAGGAAAAGAGAAAAACACAATAGTGATTAAAATAAAAGAAGATACAAAAGTGTAACAATAAACAGACAACAGAGTCTAATGTAATCCAATTTGTATTCAACATTTTTTTTTTATCTCAAACGACTTTCCTTATCCCAATTAACCTTTGACCACTGAGACAAGTGCACCTCAGGAGTGTTACATTAGCCATATACAGTAGCCACATAACAAACCAGCTGAGGATAGAAGGCTTGAATAAACATGAGAAACCATGCGGTATCCGAATATAGGATGGTTGTTCATTTAAGTCTGAAATTGATTTGAGTTGATCAGAAGTTACTATATTTATTTGAAAACTATTTAGAGAATCACCTCGGATGATTGACAGATTAGCACTGACAGAGACATTGCCTTCATTGTTCTCAGCAACGCATTCATAGATGCTCTCATCACGTGGCGCTCGGAGAGGCTGGATTCTGAGTACGGAGGTGGCACCTTCATCAAACTCAATGACCTGTAGGATAGAGAGTCATAAGGTTAGGTTAGAAAGATGTGTGGATTCTAATAGCAATAGTAATAATAGTTTTGAATTTCAGCTGGTGTAGGTACTCTTTGTTTTTATTAGATTTTTGCCTTTATTGGGCAAAAATTCAATAATGACTTTTCAGAATATTGTAATTCGACCAATCGGAGTTGGCAGAATATGGCAGAAATGGAACACAATATCCATTAATTACCTGAATCCCACTTTGTTTTTGTGACCATCAAATGAGCCCTTTATATCTACAGAAGGAGTTCTTTTCACCGCCATGTTACTACAGTAGCCCAGAAAGGACAAACCAGACACTGGTTCTAGATTGAGGCAGTGGTTTCAGTTGGTTGCAATCTGCAATCTCACTGCTCAATGCAACTAAACATATCACTAACATTTTGTAGACATCAACATTTTCAAAACCTGTTTAAAAACTCATAGCCTACTGTGAGATATTGGATATCCCTAGTGACATAGTACAGTACAGTAACAATAAAGTTGCCCTCCTCGCCCTGAGAGTGCAGCAGTGCTCATTGACTCACCTCAACACGCTGGTTCTGTGTCTTCTTTCCTTTCTTCATCCAGCTAACCCTCGGCTTGGGGTTCCCCGTCGCCTGGCACACAAATGAGATCACGCCTCCTGAGACGCCAATCTGGTTGACAGGAACTTTAGTGAACTCTGGGAGTGCTAGGTTGTGAGGAGGACAAGGGAGGACAGGCAGAGAGAGCGAGAAAGACATTATCACACACAAAGCCCAAACTTGTCTTGACTTTCATGCCTGTTATTGAGTTGATTTCGCACATCTTTTAAATCTGACAGTGACAATGATTTCACCAATGTACTGATCCCAGTCCAGCCTTTCTATTTTTGTGTTCATTGAGCAGAAGATCTACCGAAATAATGTTTCACTGAAGCATATATGAGAAAGTTAAAAAGGTAAACAAAGTACTAAGGACATCCGTGATTTGTATAAAGTACATTAGTGTGTGGTTGCTGCTTTGACTGAAGAATGATTCAAGTGGTGCGTGTGTATAATTTTGTTGTTAGGTTGGAAATTAAGTTCATTCTAGGCATTTGTCTGAACAGAGGACAGATAGAGAGCACTGTCACATGGTGCACCTGAGGCTCAGCAAAACTAATGAGCTTGTAGTGGACTACTACTACTACAAGAGAAACATCCTGGTTGCTGAAGGGTTGAAGTGAAGAGAGTGGACTAATTCATAAAAAACAGAACTGGACTCACAAAACTGAAGCCTTCTTTAGGAAAAGACAGAGCAGACTGTTACAAAATGCACTGAACTGACTTTGTTATGCGTTGCTATTTGAGTCCTGATGTATGTCTGTTAGTATGTCAGTGAGATATAGTCAAACACACTGAAACAGTGGGTTTGCTGCAGCTGAGACCACCGTTTGCAAACAGGAAGTTATTCTTGTGTAATGGAAAATTACACAGGCCTTTGAGCAGTGGTGGAATTAAAGTACGTAAAAATGGCAGTCAGTTGTACATTTTATATTATATTTAATGATAGATTCTGCTACAGAACAGTTTTGAGGTACTTGTACTTTGCATTTTATGCCACTTTTACTTTTTGTGTATTCTTTACCTCACTAAATTTATTTTACAGTTATACTTCCGTTATAATTACTTTTCAGGAAGATATTTTACATAACTACAATATAAAATACATTTAAAAAATATGCATTGACATAGATGAAACAAATCAGTAGTCTGCAAAGATGTTTAAATTAGTTAAAACTTGTTACTCATCAATTACAATCCATAATACTATGTTATAGACTAAATGATAATATATATTCAACCATGGGGCCATACAATGTGGTGAGTAGTTTTAATTTGAATCCTCTAATAATGAACCTAATATAAGAAGTTTTTTACAATGAGTTATGAAACAGTCTCAATTTAATACTGATGCCTTTATATGACCTACATAAAACCATCATTGAGAAAATTGGCTTTTTCTGTAAAGTTATTCTTAATGCCTTTCACCAGGTAGATTTTGGTGGGATTCCCCTTGAAGTCATTAAAACAGGGTGGGGGACTTTACCGCCATTGTCTCTGGCCCTGACTAAAAAACTGTTAAAGTTTAGCATCTGAAGTATATTTCTTCTGTAAAACATTCTGTGTTTAAGTCAATTTAACCTCATCCAGCCATAGCAAACTGTGTACAAGTGTTTTTTTCAAATCAGCCGGATTTCATTTTTAAATTCTAGTGAAGTTTCCGAAGATAACACATAATTAGTTATGATGTGTTTTTTGGAAATGTGTATGAAATAATGAAAGGAGATTCAAAATTTTTGATTTTTAATGAACAAATAACTTTAAATATTTCTCTGGGTTTGAAAATTCTTGGAACAAAAAAAATGAAACGGAGGTCTAACAATTTTACATAATAAAGGAACTTTCAGGAATTTTTATTCAAAAACAATTGCTAAACTTTAGTTACTGAATAATTTATAATTATGATTGAGATTAAGATTCCACGTTAACTTTATTAAGTGAGTTTGCCACCCTCTTTTTTAGGTACAGTAATCGAGCGAGAGTAAAGTAAATAGCATCTTTCAGATTTTGGGCCTTTGACATCTCTTGAGGTTTATTCATAATCATTCATTTTATGTACTCGTATATTTTCTGTATCTGCTATTTGTATCCCGGTTTCAATTTCAGTTTTGAAAAAAACAGCTGAATTTACTTTCATGTGTAAATTGTACCACCGAAAGCCATCACTTAAAATACACCAGAGAACGCGTTCAGATTGTTTCAGCATCATAGAATTATGGCAGCCAATTGAAGATCAAAGTAAAGAAAATATATATTATACACCTACTTAATTATATTAAGACCATTTATGTGTCATTGGTTCCAATGTGCATCAGTGATAAGCTGTAAAATACATAAATATGATGTTAGACCTTATTTTTTAAATATACTTGATCCTACAGTTTATAAAATGTGTAAAATTAAACAAGTTAAACATCTCACCATGAGAAACTCCAAGTAGCATCAGCAACAGTCCAATTACAGCCTCCATGTCTCCTCAGTGTTCAGCCTCTGTTGAGTCAGTCAGCAGCTCTCAGTAGAGACAAACCTCCATATTTATTTATAATCTAACATGCACATCTTACATCAAGCTGCCTGAAATGTCATCAGTGTCATCAGTGATCAGCTTCAGATAAATGGTGTGAAAATTCTTACCAGAGCAGTGTAAAAAAAGCAGTTATCAGACTTAAGAGGAAACACAGGTCACGTGGTCAGGACTTCTTGCTGACACTTAAAGTCAATATATCCAAGTAATTCAAAGAGTGAAACAAGTAAACTCTTAATTCAAATTGAAGATCTTGCAAATCAGAAAGTGTTTTAGATTTGTGCAAGATCAAAAACTGAAACAACTTTACTGAGGATGCTTTTGGTCCTCAGACCATCATCAGGTAATATTTTGTTCCTGTGTCATTTAACTGCGTCTCCTCGTTTTTGTCACAGTTCCAGAGCCGGGTCGTGACCCAGGATTCTTGTATTCACAAATATGGAAACCTGTATGAAGTCACTTTAACTCAGTGGCCGTCATCAATATTATAATCATCATCAGGGCTCATGTTATATTTATCAGTTTTAATACTGAACTGCTTTAAACTGTCAAACCTCAGACGACATCCTCAGAGATCACAGTAATGCTTCTTCTGTTATTCACAACATGGTAAAGTAAACAGAATATGCTGACAGTTCCCCATTCATGTTGGGGACATTATGATTAGATGTTCATGTTTCAGGTTCCGCTTTAATACTTAAACTACTACTACTACTACTACTACTATATGGTCATCAGTTTGTAAGAATTTAAAAATTTGCTTACAACAAGTATGTGGGCAAAGTGCCAGAGGAGACGTAGGTAAAATTCCCCTGCACTTTATTTCTTTGATAAAAACCATTCTGCATTCAGAGGACTATTGTTTTGTCTTTTGTCACAAATATTTATCAACAAGGTTAAATAAGAGCAACCATTATACCACCCTTCTGAAATTGACTGACTGAACAAAACAATGTTCTGCCATCAAAATAGAATTTGAACAATTGTTCAACATCTAAGCTTCTCATGTGTATAATAGTATGCAGTGTTTCTTGTGAAGGTAAGCAACGTGTCCCTGCAACAAAGTGCCGTTACAATGTCATAAAGGGGTTGTTTTTTTTTTGTTACTTTAAAGCAAATTTAAGCAAACCTGTAGACTATGTGTAAAAATCCTAGTTCACTGGAGAAGAATATAAGATGATATTTTAAATTACGTTTTCAAATGCACATATATTTTTTTCATTCCCAACTCTTAGAAGAACCTTTACATATCAAAGGGAATGTATTTCTGTTGTAACAGCATGTTTTTATTCTTACTGAGATTATGATTCCTCTTTTATAACTGAGTTTGCAGTCCTCCTTTTTACGTACAGTGAGCGACAATAAAATAGATTTTGAGCTTTTGAGCCTTTGAATTTTTGGTTACAATTTCATACATAAATAGTGGTTAAACATAAGCCATCACTTATACACCAAAGATATTTAATTGTATTTAATTTATTTAGGTGTCTTGTTTAAATTTGGTTCCAGTGTGCATAAGTGTTTGATCTGTAAAATACATCACTGAAGGTGCTGCCAGACTATAAAATATGTCAGATTAAACAAGTTAAACATCTCACCATGAGAGACTCCGAGTAGCATCAGCAACAGTCCAATCACAGCTTCCATGTCTCCTCAGTGTTTTGATCCAGTCAGCAGCTTCCAGACAAACCTTTCTACTTAAAAGCAAACATGCACATTCTACACTGAGAAAATGTGTCATGAAAAGTGATCAACTTCAGAGAGGAGAGGAGAAAAAGGAATCAATGTTAGTTTTACTTCCCTTTTAGCCCAGAAGGAGAGAGACACAATGGTGGGATGGACTGACTGGAAGAGATGAAAACATTATTCCTTCATACTAAAAGAGGATTTGAAACTGACAGCTGATATTGTCCATGTTGCAACATTTTCCAAGAAATTTCTAAAAAATAATATAATAAATTATTAAAACACATGCCATCTCTTCATGTCATAATTTCTGAATAAATAAACATATGATATTCCATATTTCTGATTCCTAAATGAATAAGTTCATGTTAATCAAAATTCACAGCCTGAAATGCTGCGTCAAACTCTCAAACTGCCCCTAACACCATAGCAGATCATTATTATAAGAGCATGTTGGACACAATTATTTACACACAGAGATGGTGGTTACAAAAACAAAATTTCAGAAAAATGTTTATTAAATTTTGTGTGTTCAGTTCAACTATTAAGCTGGAAAGTAGGTTAAACAAATAAATATTAGAAAATAAATTGTCTGAAAAATAAGGATTATGATCCACTATACAAAGTTGAATCGATGTAGTGAGCATGCATTTTTTTTGAGAGATTTTGACTAATTGATAATTTATGATTAATACTATGATTGTACTGTTATATTTTTTACATGTCAGATACATTGGTAAACAGCATGATACAGCTTCAGACTTTATTAATCCCCCCCCCACTATAAAATATACATTTGAGCAACATTATGAGCACTGACAGGTGAAGTGAATAACACTGATTATCTGGTTATCATGACATCTGTCAGTGGGTGGGATGTATTAGGCAGCAAGTTGATGTGTTAGAAGCAGTGAGCATATGAGCGACTCTGACAAGGTCCACATTGTGATGGCTAGACGACTGGGTTTAGAGCATCTCCAAAGCTGCAGCTCTTGTGAGTTTGTGGGTGGTCCAAGAAAGGAAAATAGGTGAACTGGAGACAGGGTCATGGGTGGCCAAGGCTCATTGATGTACGTGGGGAGTGAAGGCTGGCCATGTGGTCCAATCCAACATACGCCCTACCTTAGTTAAAGTTTCTGAAAGAATAAATGGATTATCAAAAGACAGGACTAACAAAACTAAACAGCCACATTTTACACTCAGTATCTAATGAGGAAAAACACAAGTAAAGCCTCTTAATGCAGAAACAGCTGTATGATTAATTTTTTATTGATCATTATTTTTCTTGAAATGTTTCTCAACAGAGAGTTTCATTGAATACAGGATTATTCATAAACAACAGTAACTCCTCTGTAAACCAGTAAAGGGAAACCTCACACCTACTAATACTGATGATGAGTGTGGAAGTTTCATTTAATTCTCAAGAGTCATTAAAGGTAAAGTTCATTATCAAAATATCAACAAAAGGGTATTTACCTAAACTGACGGATAACACATGACTGATTGATTGACAGGTTTTGAATCGTACATATTTACATAGTTAGTATAATTACAATTTGTGATTCAATACACAATCCTCCAAAGATTATTTTCTCCTTCAATTTATCTAAAAAATTTGGAGATAGATTGTTTTTAATGGGCAGCAATGTGGAAATCTAGAGTACAATAATTTATAAATAGCATCAAAATGAGTTGCACTATTAATATAACAATATAGGCGTTATTCATAATATGATATTTGACTTCAGTAAATCTGTAAATATGTCAAGGTTACTCTGACCCACTTTCACCAAGTCAGCAACTAATAAAGTGAAAAGAGTTACACAGTTCAACTTGATGTAAGTGTAGAAAACACTCATAAAAAGGTCTATGAGTGTTTTCTACACTTACAAGTATTCATAGTGAGCTGCTAAGAAGTGAAGGTGAGAAAAAAAGAGAATTTCTACTCTAAGTGCTTGCTGTGAAAGTAGAGTTCATTTACACTTTCATTAGTAACACAGGTCATCTCTGTTGGAGGAAGCAATAGTTTGATTGGTGTGTGCAATTTGAGTTTTATGGATTGATGTCACTCTCCTTACCCGCAAAAAATTCTTGGATTGTAGTAGAGGCTGATGTTGGCTCAATGCACTGGCTGTTACTGGATACACGCACACTCTGTGATATGTGCATCCCATTGGATAAGGTGCAGACAATGAACATGTAGCCTATGGGAAATAAACAGATCAATGACTGTTGTACAGTTAATCATCAGTGTCATAACTATCAAACTGTTTTTCACTCAACTGCTGACTCACCACAGGTAGATATCCCACTGACGTGATTCCTGACTGAGCAGACCAGTTGTCCTGAGACGTCTGATTTCAGAGTGATGTTGTTAGTCTCACTATTTCCAGAGAGGAGCTGAGTGTCTGTCAGTGTGTGTCCATCCAGAGTCCAGCTGTACTGAGGACTGTCTCCTCCCTCAGAGGAACAGGACACCTTTATTTCTCCCTGGGACAGACACTCAGAGACCAGCACGACAGAAGACACAGGAGCTGAAGGAAACATACACAGATGACTTTTGATATTAACAGAACCAGAACTGCATATAATGTCCACATTATATGCAGTTTAAAATGAAGAGCCGGTAACCAGTAAAATCCTACCCATCTATCAAGTGAATGTTCATCTTTGGAAAAAATCAAGAAAATCCACATTCTTAACTTTTTGACAGTAGTGATGGTTGGCCATTAGCTGTACTATTGTTAACTGTTTAGTTCATACTGAATACTTCAAATGAAAAATATGTACTACATATTGCATCCATTGGTATTGACCTGAAGAGCGGTCACAGGAAGTGACCATCATGATAAAAGTTAAGGCTTAACCCAGGAAAATCCCTTTGTTGGAAAACCCACAAAGAGAACAAGATGGAAGACTGAATAATGGGCTACATACTGGTCTTCTGTAATATACTGCTGGCGAAGCCTTTGATGCCTTGGTTAGAGATGGCTGCCAAGTAGAAGTGGTACTCTGTGTTTGGGCGGAGATCTTCCACAACATAGGAATTTGTGGGTGCAAATGTTTCCTTCATCTGTTGATGGAGATTAAAGATATTAACAAGTGTGTAAAAGGCACTGAGATTTTAAATGAAACACTGAAAGTCTTACCTCGGTGCCCGAACTGAGGCCTATGTACTGAAGTTCATAATGTTTAACTCCATCTGTCTCAAAGGCAGGTTCCCAGGTCAGTTCAATGCTGGTGTCAGACACAGCGCCAACCTGGAATTTGTATGGCTGACCTGGAACTGAAGAACGCATAAGAGAACATTGTTGCAGGACATGCTACTAGAAATTAGACATGGACAGCAATGTTATATATACATTGAAGGGGAACTGTCCAATGATCACTGGAAGAAAAATCTTGAGAATGTGAGTAGCTGTATTTTCCTTTTTAGTTATTTCTTAATAAAAGAGCATGTTTGTTATATACTGACATGATGAGCATAATGAGATTTGGCATAAATTGACGTAGGATTAGTGGGAATTAAATTTAGAGGAACAGATAATGAAGTACAAAAGCTTGTGCCCTAATGACAAGAAAGGTCCGGGTTTCTACTGGCTCAGTGGGAGGACACAGATTGATGGTGTTGATGCCCGAGACACAGATTTCATGCTCTGTGTTGGGGTAGAGGCAGCCAATACTGTACTGGTAGTGGTCATGTCATCCATGTCTATCTGGGTAATAGGTTTTACACTGGATGAGTCCCAGGTAAATGGTCACACTGGTAATGTTTCTGTAACCATATCTGCTGTTAGAGTAACAAAACTAGAAGGAAAAAGGAGGCAGAATTAGCCAAATAAAGTACACGACCTTCAGTTAACTAATTATGCCTAACATTAATACTGTACAAAACTGACGCACAAAAAACATATGATTTTACATGAAAATAGAATACACTTATTAATTAATACACAGATCCACATCAGAGATGTTTGGTTGCTCACCAAGGTTATCATAGTAAAACTAAACTAAAAACTAAAACTAGGTTTGATTAAACATTTTAGTTAACTACTATAAAAATACAAACTACGCTTTGGGGGAAAAAACGTTACTAACAAAACTAAATAAATAAATATATGCAGGAAATGTCTTTAGTTTTAATCAAAATTGTAAGCACAACTATGCATTAAAAGGCATTGGTGAAGACTCACATAACTGAGTTAATGTGTTTGTATTGTAATAGCCTACCTATTCTTACAAATAATCCCCATAATAATAATAAAAATAATCTAACAATAAAAAATAATTAAGACTAAACATTTTAAACAATACAAACTAAACAAGCTACTCTGGAAACTAACTGAAACTAAACTGAAATAAAATAAAATTTAAAAAATCAAAAAATCAAAATATAAATGAGTGAAAACTACAATAACTCTGCTGCTCACCTCCCTGCTGGGTTTTAACTTGCACCATATCGGAAAGTGGCCCGTCACCTACAGAGGTGAAGCCCTGCACCCTGAGGCCGTAGGTGATGTCAGGAGTCAGGCCTGAGATGGTAGTCATAATGGTGTCATCTGTAATCTGTTTCTGCCAGCCGCTGAGTGGAGCCGTCAGATCCGAGCTGTAGTAGATCCGATAGCCTCTGATTTGCCCGTTGGGTTCCTCTGGCGGTTCCCACTGAACCAGCATTGTTCTGGCACTCAACATGCGTAATCGGATGTGCTGAGGCGGCGAGGAGGGGGCCTGTTCACCGGTGTGCACCTCCACGGGGTCGCTGGGATGTCCACGGCCAAAGGTTTTGGCAGCCAAGACACGGAACTCATACTCAGAGTTGGGCCTTAGTCCACCAACACTGTAACGGGTTGTTGACACACCATCCACCTCCTGGAATTCATTGTTTGAGGACTTGGCTCTGTACTGAATTACGTAGTAGGAGACAGGTTCTGGGTTTCCAGAGTCCCAGGTGAGAGTCACACTGGTGGCTGTGGTCTCAGTCACAATGAGGGAGGTGGGGGGCTTTGGCAAGGCTGAGGAGGGAGAAGCAGGGTATTAGATTTGGTACTAAAAATGGACATTTCTCCATTCTGTAATTCACAGCACTGAAATTATTGTTTCATACGTTAATCTTTCTAGTGCTGTCTTAACAAACATGTAGAAAGAGACACATACAAGCACTGACATCGAGGCTCATTGACAAAGAGACTGCAAAAAGCACCTTTCTTTAATTTAACGGCAAAAGCCTCCTGCCATGGTCCTGCTAGATTGCCATTGCCAATACTGTTGTTGCTGTGCACCTGTCTGTCTGTCTGTCTCTCGTATCTCTCTCTCTGTCTCTCTCTCTCTCTCTCTCACACCCCAACTGGTCGAGACAGACGACCACCCACCTAGAGCCTAAGGATCTGTCCTAGGCAGTTTTTCCTTTCCTTTCCTTGTCTCCATGTGCTTGCTCATGGTGGTACTGTTGGGTCTCTGTAATTAATGTTTTAAAGAGTTCGGTCTAGACCTGCTCTATTTGAAAAGTGTCCTGAGATAACTTCTGTTATGAATTGGCGCTATACAAATAAAATTGAATTGAATTGAATTGAATTGAAAAACACAGGCCACAGCACAGGGGCAGCGGAAATTTCCAGGAAAGGTTCCAGATGTCATTTGTGTTTTTTTCTGTTTTATACCAGTCCATTACCTTTGACAGTGATCCGAGCGGTGGCTTCTATCACATCCACAGAAGACATGGCCACACAGGTGTAGTTTGCTGACTCAAGGACGTTGGTGAGCTGCAGCACGTTATGTCCTATTGGTATCTCGTCTTCCTTGGTCAACTCCTCCAGGCCCATCTTCCACTGTACGTAGGGCAGCGGCGATCCCACTGCGTGACATGTCAGGTTGACACTGCCTCCTAGCATCACCTCTTGGTCGGTGGGTGGAATGGAGAATCTGGGTGGGATTCTTCTCACTAATTGGACGAAGCAGAGGTGCAGGAGAAAACCGCAACTCTTTTTCATCTCCATTGGACTGTTGGTAACATACTGGGCATAGACAGATAACTTAACAGAGTTAACGGCTAAACAAGGACTGTTTAATTATTGTTAATGTTGCTAATGTGTTTTATCTAGGTTACTGTGGTATTGTGATGTTGATTTGATTAACTGAGGTTACTGTAGTAACTGTAGTCTTTGAGACAGTGCTAAGGTGATGTTAGTTTAATGCTTCACAAAGACATTGTATTTGCATGCACTATCTCCCTTTTTACGGCACTGTTAATCTAAGATCACACACACACATATTCGGCCCTAAACCTTAGCACACACACTAGGAGAGGGATTCAAACTCTCCACTTTCTCCTTGCTCTTTGTCTCTCACCAACACGTTTCATACATTGAAACATCTGGTCAGAGGACAAAGGACACACACCCTTTTGGCGCGCAACCCCCATGCACGCACACACACACACACACACACACACACACACACACACACACACACATTTTCCCTCTAACTTAGTTCCTTTAAGTTAGACTGTATATAGTGTGTTTTCCTCCGTTTGCTTTTATTATATCTCTTTATTAAATGTTTGTGTATATATGCTGGCCTATTTAATTTCGTACAAGAGTGAGTGATACTAACCTCTTCTATGTAGAACTCCAAAGCTCCCACTTTAGCTATTAATAATCATTTTGGTTGTAGTTATTAATTGAATTATTTATCTGACTTCTGAATTAATAGTTTAGTGTATTCTTATGAGACTGATCAGTCGATTATTGGTTATCGTTTCCCTTATTTAAGGGTGGTGCCCCGAGAATCTTTAATATTAATTAAAGTAATTTTCTATTATCTGTTGATAATTATAATTTTTGATAACCATTAATTGATTAAACTAATGCAGTTAGACCACTCTAACACCCTACGACGTGGAGCCCGAAACATAAAACACCACAAGGCTAAACGCTGACTCAGGAAAGCTAATAGATTGGAGGGCTGATCGCTTTCATCCAAATGTGCAGGTGAGCACAATGGGAATGATAGGAGTGCAACCATAGATTAAACTCAGTTATTTTTGGTGAATATCTTTATTTGGCTCTATTGATAAACATCATTGAATTATGTCTGATCGGATTTGATTTTAAGGGCTAATACAAAACTATTCAAATCAACTGGATCAGGAGATTTGACTATAGCAGCTGCTGCCCATTTGGATGGAGGGTAGCTCTTTCAGACTTCTCTGTTTTTTGTTTTGTTCTGTGTTCAGCTTTTGCTGGGACGTGCATTACCTGTGGCACAGATGGTCTGCGGGGAGGCATTGGGTTTTTATTGGAAAGCCGTGGACTTTGGGACAATCCACCCAGCCAGATTGACTGGATGGAACCGGCTCACCATGGCGGGTGCTGTCACCCCAGGACAACAGGGAAGAGAATCAGATGGGAGCCATACTGGCCCAACTTAGACTCTTTTTATCTTGTTGCTGCTGTTCACCCAGACGCAAATTTAAAAGATTCACTGCAGAATTATTTCCCAGGTGTATATAAATAGCTTTACATAAGGAAGTGGTCTTGGTAGGTCACTTGGTGTCACTGTTGCGCTGTTGTTCATACTGAAAGTCCAGCACATCACGCTGTTTGTCCCCCATGGGATACCGTAGTTTTAAAAAAACATCCCACCAACCACCCATCCATACAAGGTAGGGTTCCAGGGGGTGTAAAAAGGCTCCTGAAAGCGACAGGCATGCAGAGGGAGTGGGTTATATATATATATATATATATATATATTGGTTAGTTTTATTTATTTTCTGTTATTCTATGAATTGTTCTTTCTTTCTTTCTTTGTTATCTTTTTCTATAAATGTAGCATGAAGGAACCGCAACCTCTTATTTCATTATACAAACCGATGTAGTATAAAAAAATAAACTGTCAAAAGAACTGAAATTTGCACATATAATTTAATGTTCTGTTATGGCCACATATTAGACAAAGTAGCAGGCTTAAATTCAATGAAAAAATATGTATTTGGAAAAGTGAGATTAAAGATAAAGAACTCAAACAATTTATTGGTTTCTAATGCCACCTTTAGATATTAGTAATCAATCATTTGGGGGATTTTCCATCAAATATATGTGACTGTTTGCAAATGAATCAGCAAATATTTCCCCACTTAACACTCTGGCCAACCTGTTAATATTTCTCAACATCTGTCCCTGGCTGGCTCTGTGAAACCGTCTCATCCTCTCTGCATGTTAGCTACCCAGCAGCAACTTTAGCGACGAGGGGCAGATGTTTTTATTTTTTGTGCTGGCTCTGTGGCCAGGTTGCTTCCTACCTCGCACATAAACGTTGGCAACGAAAGCGTAGCGCACGCCTTTCACGTTAGACACCACACACTCATACTTCCCCTCGTCGGCCTCCTCGCTGTTGTCGATCTGCAAGGCACCTGGAAAATGACAACATGCAACAAAGACATGAAAGGAGGGGGAGGAGAGAGAAAAAGAGAAGAGGGAAAGGAAGTCAGGAGGAAATAATTAGTTGATCTGTCAGTGTCAATGCTTGAAGGAGTCAGAAACTGTTAAACTTAATGGAGGGTATCTTAAAATTTCTCAGCATCATTTTGTCAAGAACTGTGTCTCTCTGCGATGCCAATTCAGATTGTCATGACAAAATGGGTTCTTCTGCAGCTTCAGCCATCTACAGATAAAAAAAAGGAGGAATTAAATAAATAGAAATGATGACTGAATCAGTCACACTAAATTTCTTTGTTGCTATGGTGGTGCAACTTGTGTAAGACATGACCTTTATTTAAAAGTGTGATGTGGAGAAAGTAATGATAAAAGTGTGATCAAAGGTAATGGAAAACTGTGTTGAGATGGATCTGTAAACTGTAAAGTGAGATCAAAGTTTCTTATACATTGCACTCAGTGGGAGAGTTTGTGTGTATTGGGTGAGACAGGGGTCAAGCAAAAATATCTATACATATTGTTCATGTCCAAATGAATAATGGCATGGTGCATAATGCAGTAGCTGATCCCTTCTGCAGTTAGATAGTTCAAAGACTAACAAAGAGTAAGACATATCTAATACAGTTGGTCCACATGCATGACGCATGAGCAGTGTGTGACGGCTGCATTGATGAACTGCTACAGCTCGCATGCCTGTTGTGACCACACAGACAGCATTTCTGCTGCTGCGCTTTACTGCATAATATACTTCATCATCCACAGACATTGTTTGCTTACTTTATTTAAATTGTTATTATTAATTGTCACTCATTCCATTTATTCTATGTTGTAGAAGGTGAATCAAAAAAAATTCTCATTTAGAACACGTCGTTGACCTGAGTATTTTAATCGTCATGGCTTCTGAAACTAATTGACTGGTTGAATTCATTTGTTTTATAATTTTGCTCTTCACTGGTGGTGCCCCTAAAACAAGTGCAAATTTATAATGAAAAAATATATTATATTGTTATTAACATAAAAACAAAGCATAGTTTTTGGTTCCTAAAATGTTTCAACATATTCTGTTGTTTCAGTCAGTGTTGCAGCACCTGATGTGATCCTTATCAAACAATTATATGAACATATCCAAGTTGGAGATGTGAATCTGTTGGAAAGCTAAAGTGTTCTCAATCACACTTCTGACATTAATCTAACATTGCGTAAGAAAAAAGACTGGGTACTGCAGCCCAGTGCAAAGCACAAAAACAACCATGTTAACTATTACCAGTTAATTACCAATGCTCAAGGTAATGAGAGGGAAAAAGGTAGCAATATAATCCTTAGGCTTCCTGTACCTGAAGGTAGCTGTTTTATCCGCCCATTACTTGCACTGGGGTCAATGGGCAGGAATCCTTTGTACCAGGTGATTTCTGGGTCAGGGTTGCCACTGGCAGCACAGAGCAGGGTGGCTGTTCGATTGCGCTCCACTACCCTGAGTTGAAGGCCAATGTCAATGGTAGGGAAGCCTGGTGGGAGTTGGTCCTCTGTGACGAGAACAGAAAAAAAGGAAAACACAAGAGTGATTTAAGACACAATAAATGGTTATACTGCAGTGACTGAGTCTTACAGACATCTTTTTGCAGTTGTGGTCATCACAATATCTGGTCTTTTTTCACTCACTTTAAAGAAAATTGTATTTTCTGCAACATTTTCCTTGGTGTGACATTTCAGAACAATTGCTAACTGTGTAGTGTGTAATATCAGTTTTTATTCTGTAAATCTTTTGACATTAAATGTTAACGTTACATCTTAAAATTATTTGCACATTGGGATTGTGTAACAAGTGTAACATTAAACAGACAACAGAGTCTAATGATTTGTATCCAACATTTTGCTTTATATCTAAAGACTTTCCTTATCCCAGTTCACCTTTGTGAACAAGTGCACTTCAGGAGTGTTAGATCATAGTCAGTCATATAAAGATAATCACACTCATCTTGCTTTAATTTAGGACTTTATTAAACAAAAACAAGTGAGTGTGTCAGATGATCATCTTCTGGCCGAATTTTCCTCTTTCCTCTAGTCCGGCACTTATATAGTTGCATGTAAACATTCTGTAGGCTATAAAACAAAAGGAATTTCTTGCTATGGGAATTGCTCTATTCCCAACGGTCACTATATTCTCCTTACATGACAACAGACATAAATATAGCTGTCTTTTTACCTGCATATGAAAACAACCATGAATATAAAAGCAGATGTTTCTTATATTCCAGAATGTGAACATCATTTGTTTTTCACACAGAGAGAGAGATTTAATGTATGTATTATCAGAAGAAAATATACCTCATGGCTCTCCCACAGGATTGCGTTGAGGCATTGAAGAGGTTTAAGAAAGACAACCAAGAATAGCAAGCATTGTGCTTTTTTTCACCTCGTCTTTCTCAGAACATTTTTAAGATTTTAAGATTTTAAAAAAGCTAGCAGTCTACTGGTCAGAGAAACCATCCTGTAGCCAGGTACTTGGACTGCATTCCCACTCAAGGCTGTTTGAAAATGCAAGACTCACCTTGGATGACTGACAGCCTAGCACTGACAGAGACATTGCCCTCGGTGTTCTCAGCAACGCATTCATAGATGCCATCATCACGTGGCGCTCGGAGAGGCTCGATTCTGAGTACGGAGCCGGCACCTTCATCAAACTCAATGATCTGTAGGATAGAGAGTCATAAGGTTAGGTTAGACTGATGGGATTCTCCTAGCAATACTATTACTAGTTTTAAAGTGATAGGTAGTGTTAGAGTTCGATAATCACTTTTCAGCATATTGTAATTCAAGGGGGAAGACTTTTGTACGTCCTCTTGGCTTGACTTTGGGGGGATCTACTGGCAGAATATGGCAGAAAAGGAACACAATATCTATAAGTAGTATTTCCATTAATCACCTGATTCCCCCTGTGTTTTCATTACAATCAAATGAGCCCTTTATGTCTACAGAAGGAGCGGACCTCTTCTACCCATCATCTTCCACCTGCCATGTTGAACCACCATGTATCTACAGTAGCCTAGAATGGACAACCCAGACACTGGCTCTAGATACAGCCTTCACATTTTTTGTGGCCACCATAGATTCTCCCACATGTTTAATTGAGGCAATGGTTTCAGTTGGTTGCAATCTGCAATCTCACTGCTCAATGCAACTAAACATATCACTAACATTTAGTAGACATCAACACTTTCAAAACCTGTTTAAAAACTCATAGCCTACTGTGAGATATTGGATATCCCTACATTACAGAGACATAGTACAGTACAGTAACAATAAAGTTGCCCTCCTCACCCTGACAGTGCAGCAGTGCTCATTGACCTACCTCAGAATGCTGGAAGCTGATCTTCTTGCCTTTCTTCATCCAGCTAACCCTCGGCTTGGGGTTCCCCGTCGCCTGGCACACAAACGAGATCACGCCGCCTGAGACGCCAATCTGGTCGACAGGAACTTTAGTGAACTCTGGGAGTGCTAGTACAAGACAGAGAGAGGGATGAAGACATTATCACACACAAAGCCCAAACTTGTCTTCCAAGACTCTCATGCCCGTTGTTTATCCATTTTCTGACACGGCTGACAGTGGCAATGACCAATGTACCGATCCATTTCACTTCAGAGTCCAGCCTTTGTTCAGAAAACAAATTTATTAGAAAATTAAAAAGGCACTAAGGGCAACATTCTGTCTTCACTTACTATTTTTAAAGGGAGTACAGAGGACAGATAAAGAGCATCATCATATGGTGCAACTGAGGCTCAGCAAAACCAATGACCTTGTGGTGGACTACAAGAAGAACAGCAGGTCTCCTGTCCTGGTTGTCCAAGAAATTGAAGTGAAGAGAATGAACTCATACAATTACCTTGGGATGCAAATCAATTAAAAACAGGACTGGACTCACAAAACTGAAACCCTCTTTAGGGAAAGAAAGAACAGACTGTTACAAAGTTTACTGAACTGAGTTTGTTAGGTGTTGCTGTTCGAGTCCTGATGTATGTCTGTTAGTATTGTCAGTACTTATTGCTGACACTGAAAGTCAATATATCCAAGTAACTCAAAACATGAAACAAGTAAACACTAACCAGTGCGCTCGACAGAAAGAGAAAAGATGAATGCAGATTGAATGCTCAAAAATTGTGATCTAACATAAATTTTCACTTTAAATTGACACAGCTTCATCTTCTACAAAGATTTTCCAAACCAGAAAGTGTTTTAGACGTGTGTGCGAGATCAAAAACTGAAACAACTTTACTGACAATTCTTTTGGTCCTTAAACCATCATCAGGTAATATTTTGTTCCATACCCAGGATTCTTGTATTCACTAATATGGAAATATGTATGAAATCACTTTAACACAGTGGCCATAATCATCATCAGGGCTCAGGTTATCTTTATCAATTTCAATACTGGACTGCTTCAAACAGTCAAACCTCAGACGACCTCCTCAGACATCACAGTAATGCTTCTTCTGTTATTCACAACATAGTACAGAAACAGAATATGCTATCAGTTCCTCATTTATGTTGAGGACATTAGGATGTTATTTATGTATCAGGCACTGCTTTAACACTTTATTATATGGCCATCAATTTGTAAGAATTTCCAATTTTGTTTACAACCAGTTTGTGGGCTTAAAAGAAAGTGCCAGAGGAAAATGCCCCTACACTTTATTCATTTGATAAAACCATTTTGTAGTCAAAAGATTATTATTTTGTCTTTTGTCAGAATTATTTATCAACAAGGTTAAAAAAGAGGAACCAATATACATTCCCTCTGAAATTGACTGACTGAACAAAACAATGTTCTGCCATCAATATAGAATTTGTTGGACAACAGTTGTTCAACATCTCAGCTTCTCATGTGTATAATAGTATTCAGTGTTTCCTGTGAAGGTAAGCAACATGTCCCTGCAATGAAGTGTCTGTACAATGTTATAAAGGGTATTTCTTGTTTATGTTTAAGTTTTGTTCTATATTTTATGTATGAAGTTTTAAACGCATAGTTCATTGGATTTTATAGCTTTATATCTGTACATTTTAAATATCTTTTTGAAACATAAATATAATTATTTAATTCCCAATTCTTAGCAGAACCTTTACTTATTAAAAGAAATGTATTTCTGGTGTAACAGCATGTTGTTATTGTTACTGAGAATATGATCCCACTTTAAATAGTGGTTAAACACAAGTCATCACTTATACACCAAAGATATTTAAATGGAGCGAAGCCTGCAAAATAGTTTTGCCTCACTCCATAGTCACTAACCAAGCGCTCCCTTCCAATCTGGCAGTCTATTTAAACTGCACAATTTCCCAGCTCTCCCTCTGCTCTGTCAATGCCGCTGTTGCCCTGCATCCGTATTACTGCTGCTGCTCTGTAAGCTATTGCTGCCTGCTGCGCTGTAAGTCCCACCACCAACCCAGCATCCACCTGTAGGCTCCAGCTAGGGGTTTAAGATATTTGTTCATCACTCTCCAATATCTCTATGTAAACATATCTGCGGGGAATGATGAGGTCAGGGCCTAGGTGCCAAAATCTAAATATGCTATACTGCTGTAATAAACATTTTAAACGTGAGTTGTCTGACTGAATTGTATTTAATTTATTCATGTGTCTTGTATGAATTTGCTTCCAGTGTGTGTCAGTGTTTGATCTGTAAAACACATCACTGAAGATGATGCCAGACTATAAAATATGTCAGTTTAAACAAGTTAAACATCTCACCATGAGAGACTCCGAGTAGCATCAGCAACAGTCCAATCACAGCTTCCATGTCTCCTCAGTGTTTTGATCCAGTCATCAGCTTCCAGACAAACCTTTCTACTTAAAAGCAAACATGCACATCCTACACTGAGAAAATGTGTCCTGAAAGTGATCAACTTCAGAGAGGAGAGGAGAAAAATTAGGCAATGTTAGTTTTACTTTCCTTTTAGCCCAGAAGGAGAGAGACACAAGGGTAGGATGGACTGACTGGAAGAGATGAAAACATTCCTCTTTCATACTAAAAGAGGATTTGAAACTGACAGATGATATGATAAGATGTCCATGTTCCAACATTAACGAAGAAATGATTGAAAAAAAAACACATGCCATCTCTTCATGTCATAATTTCTAAAAAAAAAAAAATTTTAAAAAAGCATATGATACATTATATTTCTGATTCCTAAATGAATGAAGTTCAGGTTAATCAAAATTCACAGCCTGAAATGCTGCTGCAACCTCTCAAACTGCACCTAACGCCATAGCAGATTATTATTATAAGAGCATGTTGGACACAAATATTTACACACATGTTGATAACAAAAACTTAGGTTTTTTTTAAAAAGAGACATTTTTAATATATTTTGTGTTTTCAGTTCAACTATAAAGCTAAAAAGTAGGTTAAACAGTTATAATATAAATTGTCTGGAAAAGTAGGGATTATGATCCACTTTACACTGTTGAATCAGTATGACAATGTAGTGAGCATGAATCTGAGTTGTTATCAAGTGATTTTGACAGCTTAATGATTAATAATAATGATTGCAGAGTTATATTTTTAAATCATGTCTATGGGGAGCCGTTTGTAAAGTGGCTCACGCTGAAAATAACAGCAACATTTTGTCACATTTAGCTTCAAACAATGTTTAAAAAACTGGTATGAATTTTTAGTGTCACTTTTTTGCACATTTACAACATTATTTGTCAACTTAGAGATATTTTGAATAGTTAAATGCAAATATTAAATGTTACACCTGAATGTTAAATGTTAAATCTAAATGCTAAATCTAAAACTAAATGTTAAATTTAAATCTAAATCTAAATGTTAAATCTAAATCTTAATTCTAAATCTAAATCTAAATGTAAAATCTAAATGTTAAATCTAAATGTTAAATCTAAATATTAAATCTAAATGTTAAATCTAAATGTTAAATCTAAATCTAAATCTAAATGTTAAATCTAAATGTTAGTATTCTTCAAATACAGTTTCTCCAAACGTGTTTATTATTTTAAGTAGTTATTATCACGATAATCCATGTCCAAGAGTCAATTTCCCCGGATGAGATGGTTTTTTGGTTATTTGACACTATAAACACACACTGACCTCCTCAAGCTTTTATTTTGGTACTTCCGGTTACCGGCATTTTGAATTTGCATATTAGTTAAATATTTAGTTTCACCCGAAACATTTAGATTTAACATTTAGATTTAGATTTAGATTTAACATTTAGATTTAGATTTAGATTTAACATTTAGATCTAACATATAGATTTAGATTTAGATTTAACATTTACATTTAAGATTTAGATTTAGATTTAGATGTAGATGTAGATTTAACATTTAGATTTAGATTTAAATTTAACATTTAGTTTTAGATTTAGCATTTAGATTTAACATTTAACATCTAGGTTTAACATTTAATATTTGGATTTAACTATTTAAAATATCTCTAAGTTGACAAATATTGTTGTAAATGTGCAGAAAAGTGACCCTGAAAAATTCATAGCAGTTTCTTAAACATTGTTTGAAGTTATCCTAACCCTAATACAGGATTATACATAAACAACAGTAACTTCTCTGTAAACCAGTAAAGGGAAAAATTACACCTAATAATACTGATGATGAGTGTGGAAGTTTTATTTAATTCTCAACCGTCAATAAATGTACAGTTCATGATCAAAATATCAACAAAAAGATTTTTACCTAAACTGATGGAAGGCCTCTCGTCTGGCTTGGTCAGCTATTCCTGCTCTCTCATTCACTTTACCTAGGGCATCGGCGAGCCCACTGCCTCACATGTCAGGTTGACACAGAGAATCTGGGTGGGACTATTCAATGATCGTGCCCCATAAAACACTGTGGTGTATTTTCGTGGCTGCCAAAAGTTGATTTGTGGATGACTGAAAAAGAAAAGGTCCACCACTCTTCTTGCTTTATTTTAGGACTTTATTAAACAAAAACAAGTGAGTGTGTCAGATGCATCTTCTGGCCGAATTCCCCTATTTCCTTCAGTCCGGCACTTATATAGTCGAATGTAAACATTCTTCAGGCTATAAAACTAAAGGAATTTCCTGCTATGTTAATTGCTCTACTCCCAACTCTTACTTACTTGCCATCATTTTTTCTGCGCCTGCTCTGCTGCGACGACGCAGTCTGTACGCTCGCTGTGTCTGTACTCTATATCTCCTTACATGACAACTGACATAAATATAACTGTCTTTTTACCTACATATGAAAACAAACATGTACATGAAGCAGATGTTTCTTACCTTTATACAGTCTATGATTAAGACTTAGACCGGCAAAATAAAGTCTTTTTTTCCACTCTTTTTTTGTGTGGCTGAAGGAGGGCGGTGCACTATCACCCACTATGGGCTAGTGAACGATCCGGCTCTAAGATCCAGATTTTTTCCCCGTTTTTTTCTGTTAAAGCCGCGTGATTGGTCAAGATGTGTGGCGGGGTCTGTGTATGTACACTGAGCAGGAGGGGGAGGTGGGGAGGGGTTACAGACACACAAGGCACAGTGAGCACGTGAACAGGAGTGAGGGAGACGTGAGAGAGCGAGAGAACTACTACATAGACAGAGACTACCCACTGGAAAGGTGAGGAAAAGAAGTGACAGGAAACGTAGTGAAGTTTGGACACATTTGAATTTACTGATAGACAGTTCAAAGGCAGAGTGTAGACTGTGCAGAGTTAAAAATTCCATATGGAGCAGCTTTTTGTCTAATTGAGATGGGTCTTTGTTTCTGTATTTTATAATTAATTTTTGTAGCCCTCTGTTCCATGTTGAGTATATTAATAAATCCATATAAATAATAAACATTTTATATAATGTATGTATTTACATTAGTAATTCGTTTTACACATAATTTGGTAATAAATTAATTTAAGCAACAAAAAATCAACAGCTCTCTAAGAAGAGCCTGAATTCCCATCACTGCTACACCGCCCCTGTTTCTTACATTCCAGCATATGAACATCAGATCTTTTTCACACAGAGAGTGGCGGAAGAGAAGCACAAAGCCTATCTATTGTCATTAAATTTCTCTTCACTTGTTTAACCCCAACAAAGTCCTCAACCAATTTTCATTCCTAATTTGCCATACAGTTTGAGTCAACTAATTTAGCACGTAGCCTTACATTAAGATCCTATGAGCACTACTTTAGACTAGGTAAACTATTCAATTGTTCTAACGAGGTTAAATTCATGGGCTAATCCCTCCCAACTGGAAGAGCTCTTCCCTACTTTCCAGAAATCCTGGAAAGCACACAGACACACACATTAGACCTAGCAAATCAGGGGGTGCCACTATCAATCCCTCATGTTTCCTCCACAAGCCTGTGGAATCCTGACTAGCACCTCTGTCCACCCACAGCTGTTTGTCTACGGCATGCTGTCAGGTTTTTCTTCCTGGTCTTATAAGGTCTTTTCACTATACATATATACCTCCACTAGCTGGAAGTTGGATTTCCTTTATTTAAAGAAGTTCTAATCAGGCTTTGAATAAAAGATTAGAGATATACTGCATACAGGACATATAATTTAGATGACACAATAGGGTCTAAGAATCCTAGCCAAAGGGAGCTAAGTTCAACTTTCCTCACTCTTTTTTATCCCTCTTCTTTCTACAAGTCATGAAAGGCTGTTGTTGCCTCAGGAGTCTAAAAGTCAGTCTTGTCAAAAGTCCTCCCCATGAATGATGTCATAGTGGTCGGGAGATCTCCACACATTCATGATATCATTCATTTTCAATACGCATTTTCTAAATTGTAGATGTGGTCCTGACCTACTTTTCAAACCTCCAGATAAGGCCATAGTGCACTGATTGCAAAATGAGTTGCTTCTATCTAAACCAAAACAAAGACACTGTCAGTTTGACAACCCCTTTTTGTATGGGAGCACACTAAAAACATCAACCTACTGAACAAATGTACTATAGCATGGTGGCTACCAATGTACAAGGCCCTCAGCTACAGTCGCAGCGACAGAATTAAACTGAAGAGAAACCCTGTGCCATCCGTGTCCACTTTTACCCCTTACAAGTAAAAACAAACAAGAACTGTTTCACAAGAATGCTAAGTCTGCATTCACTAAATTAATTTCCTACAACACCACCAGGATCCTGCTGGAACCTGTGACATTAGTGACTGTTGGTCCAGTTTCACATCTTACTTTATCCCCCTAAGATCTTCAAATGATTTCCAACCCCTATTTGGTCTCTTTACAAGCATCATTGGGTGATTACATGGTGAATGATTACCTTCAACATTGGCTCTTTCATCTATGAGAGGCAGAAACAATGTCTTCAACAGCTTCAAGGCTGAGGTGATATATTCTTTTACATGGTCTAAAATAGAGTTGCACTCTATATTTCCCCCAAATCAGAACTTACTTCAAGTCCCCAAACAATCAGAAACTATTGAAAGCAATGCTTTGACTATGGAGACATTTGCTCCTGAGTCTACAAAGAATCTCACAATGCCACTTAGTACACTCAGAGTTAACCTAAAGTTGTCTTAGTGTCTAGTGTTAACTGTGAATATCATTAGTATGTAACTACTGGCTTGTCATTGTCATCATTTATCTTCTCCTTGTGTGTCTCTGTGTCTATGCCTGTGTTCTATTCAATACTCTGACCTGCACCCACTGTCTCCTATGATTGCCTGTGGTCCGTTTGTTGGTACCTCCGGTCAAACCTCTCTGTATCTTGTCCTTCTCACCAGATGGGATAAGAGATGAAGGAGAATTCTTTCTGCCATCTCTCTCTCCTGTTCTCTTTGTTTTCTCATCTGGTTAAATCCAGTTCCCCTTGTTTCTTTCAATGTGCAAGATGTGTGTCCATACAGTCACCACCCCCCAGCCTGGGAATGTAATCATCACATCCCTTTGTCCTTTTGGCACCCCAGCCTGGGATTGTAGGTATCTGCTAGTGACAAAAAAGATTTCCTGGGAGAAGCAAAGTTAGTTTTCTCTGCCCTTTCCCAGTCACTGTTGTAGGATTCAGAGATCTAATTTGATCAGACAGCATGGATATTGCACAGGTGTGCCTTAAGCTGGCCACAATAAAAGGCCACTCGAAAATGTGCAGTTCCATCACACAGCACAATGCCACAGATGTTGCAAATTTTGAGGGAGCGTGCAATTGGCATGCTGACTGCAGGAATGTCCACCAGAGCTGTTGCCCGTGAATTGAATGTTCATTTCTCTACCATAAGCCGTCTCCAAAGGCGTTCCAGAGAATTTGGCAGTACATCCAACCAGCCTCACAACCGCAGACCACATGTAACCACACCAGCCCAGGACCTCCACATCCAGCATCTTCACCTCCAAGATCATCTGAGACCAGCCACCCGGACAGCTGCTGCAACAATCGGTTTGCATAACCAAAGAATTTCTGCACAAACTCGGACCAGAGCCAGACTTTTCTATCAGTTATTTTTTTGAATATCTTCCTCTTCCTTTTACCATTGCAAAGACAGTGCATGCATATACAGCAGCCTGTAGCTCCTTCAAACTTGCAACATTTTCGTTTTACTATGTACTTATTTTGTCTCTATTGATGAAAACATAATTGAATTATGTCTGATTGGATTTGATTTTTAAGGGCTAAGCCAAAATTGTTCAAGTCAACTGGATCAGGAATTTGACTATGGTAGCGGCTGCCCATTCAGATGCAGG